TGTTTAAAAAAATAAAAATAAATGAATTATCTGCTTGCGCAAAGTGGCCACCTCTTATATGTCACACAGCAAACAGTAGTTTTGTATTTGAAGAGAAAGTGCCAGTACATCGCTGCAGGTCAACGATCCGGAGTTCAGCTAGACCTCAAAAGCACTAAACCTCATGTAGGTGAACTTGTTAACCATACACTTAAATTATACTGGGTGCTCATAAAATTATTTTTCTTCCACCAGGCAAACACCATAACATTCCCAGTGGCTCCTGTGCATGATTCTGAGATGGTCTGTTCAATGATTAAATACTGACAAAACCCTTCTTACAGTAATCCAATCAGAAACGAAAATGATTAAACCTGCAGAAACTACTTTTAACACTGTCAGGTATGATGATAGATTTAGATCCATTGATCTTATAGTAAGTCAATGCTGTGAGGATCTTTAACAACCTGATTAACTCAATAGAAACTACTCCCATGATCAAAAAAGGATTAGCAGCAACTTTTTTTACACACTCCTGCAATGCCCACAGATGATTATTTTGCATCAAACGCAGCTCAATTGGAGCATGCTGTTTCACATGTGTGTACAGAGGTCATCCATTACAACATATTTCCACGTTCGATCGGCGCTGCTCTTCTGCAATGGCCATATTTGCTCAAGAAGTGTGCTGATTATTTCAAGGCAATAAGCGAGGTAGAGGGGTGGTGTGGAGGGGGTGGTGAAGATGAGACAATCAGAGAGGAGCTATGAATGAGTCACTCAGAGCAAATCTTATCTTCTCTGTCATTAAAGTGCTTTTTATCGTTGCTCCCATCTTAAATTTCTGTGAACTCCTCAAGGAACAGTCATATACAGGACTATAAAGTATAATCTGCACGGTAACAGCTTTCTTAATCATGAACTGACAAACTGTTCTGCTGTGCTAGATAGGGCAGCTTAGCCTTAAATTCTCCCATGACTTATGTGTATTTTGAGGCGGGGGCTTGTCTTAACGTACTGTACCTACATTCCCACAGTACACAGGCTGGATTGGCTATAAAACACAAAGCCCTATGAACAGATTTAAAGTTATTGCAGCAGGTCTTTATGGTGACAAATTCTAATGTAGTCCACATATTCATGAGTTCTGCTGAAGATGAAACTTTCAGCTTCTGCTGTCATCTGTAAAACAAATTGTAAAATTAACTATATATTTTTAAGTATATCTGAAAGGCATAGCTTGACATTTTGGGAAATACTTTATTCCCTTTCTTGCAGAACGTTATCCTCCTTAAAACCACAATGTGATGTTTTTACTTTGTTTTTGTTTTTGAAACATACAAGCAATAACATGTTAATTAGTGAGCTTTTGAGGTGCTGGTATTTAGTTACATTTGGATGTTTCTCCCTGTTTGCAGTCTTTATGCTAAGCTAAGCTAACTGGTTACTGATTGTAGCATCATACATAATCAGACATAATGTGCAAGTATCACTTTATGTCTGTGGTAATAGCAAAGGTATGTCTTTGTCATACTTAATAATCACAATTGTGGCCAAATCAGTGTTTGCATGATGCCCCCCGGTCACCTTGCACCTTCATGGTTGATTGTTTGTAATTTACATGTCATTTAGACACTGGATAGACCCTTTAGCCAACTAGAAACTTCACTATCAGCAAGTCTGAGGTAAAATTGCTTACATATGCTTACATTGCTAGCTAGCTGGCTGGCAAGTGCATATTTTACCTCTGACTTTCTGTTAATGAAGTTCCAGCAGTCTGAGGAATAAATTATAGGAAAATTAATAACATAAGACAATCCAAGTTTACTTTTACAATATAGGTCTATATTCCCCCTGCTTTTAACCAGCTACTTGTAGTTTATTTTATCTGTAATTTGCACTTATTAAAGTGATTTCCCACCATAGGGGGGCATCTTACCCAATGGAAAATGCCTTTTCCCTAAAAAATACATTTGCTTAAATACAAATTAATTTGTCAACTGTAGATATTTATTTTACTTTATAATATGTTACCCATAGCATAGCCTTCTCATCTCTTCTTCTAGACATTGAGCTTAGGGGGGCATCTTACCCCAGTAACTTTTCAGTGCCTTTCTCCTAAAACTTACATTTGATTAAATTAAAATTAATTTAACTCTATGACTTTATAACTTTATTTTACTTTAAATTATGTTACCCTATGCATGGCCATCTTCAAGATAAAAAAAATATAAAATATTATTTTATATGTCAGCAAATAGACATTGAGATTAGGGGGTCGTCTTACCCCAAGCAACCCTACATGCATAGGCAATAACAGAAGCCTGTTGTTGCCGATGGATTATGTATTTGGTAGGCCTATGTCTAATGTCCTTGTTTATATTTGGAATACAGACTGTAGCCTACAATTAACATGACTTACTACTGAGTTATATTTAAAATAAAGACATGATCTCTTTTGCAATTATCCTTATGACTCAGTTTTAATCACCCGCTGCCCAGAAGATCATTGGTACCCATCTCCCGAGCAACAGTGATATTGGTGAGGTGAGATGCCTACGCAGAACCCAAAGGATACTAAAGGACAGTCCCACCCAGCCACAGCCAGTTCACCCTGCTGCCTTCTGGGAAGAGATATAGAAGTTTCAGCTTCCACACCACCACACTGCAGATTTTTCCCCAAAGCTACCAGGCTCTTAAACTCAAACTCATCCTCAGCACTGCTCCACTGATCATTGAATCGTGTTTATTTCTGTTTACCATTTTTATAACTGCTTCTGTATTAACGTATATTGTCTGCTATGTAGCAGAAGGGAGTCACAATGCTCAATTTCATTATATAACCTGTTTTGTTGTGACAATAAATGTACCTACCTACCTACCAATCCAGTCCTTTTTACCTGCTGAAATACCTTTGAATGTCCAATACAACCAATAACATGCAGTATTTCACTTGCCAGAAAGTGATTACAGCCTCTACTTATTGACTAAAAGGTAGATTCTGCCTCAAAATGACTTGATTTATTTGAAAATACCTTTAAATGGCCAAAACAACACTTGAAATGCATTCTTTTACTTGCCAGACAGAAAGTGATTACAGAATGACTTGATTTCATTCAGAAGAGTTATATCTGACCGAAATTGTCCCCCTTTTTATTTCATATATAATAACATTATATTTTTTAATGACCACCAAACCAAAAATATCCCTGGTTTTCATTTCAGAAATCTGGTCACCTTAAGCTGATGATACACGGAGAAACTTTTAGAGCAACGGTGCTGGGCAATGTTGCCGTCAGTGGTAATGAGTTAAGATTACTACATTAATTCCCTTCTTCCACCCGCCCCGTCCCGCCGCTATCCGTTGAAAACATGGTCAGGCTTGGCACCAGCAAAGTTGCCCCGTGTATCATCAGCTTTAGACTATGTGCCAATATTGAACATGGGTCTATTCTATTGGTCCATTGGGTGCACCATTATATTACGTTCATTTAGCTAACATTTTTATCCAAAGCGACTCACAGTTGCTATATATGTCAGAGGTTGCACGCCGCTGGAGCGACTAGGGGTTAAGTGTCTTGCACAGGGACACAATAGTGGACATGTTACAGTGGGGAGTTGAACCCAGGTGTCTCGCACCAAAGGCATGTAAATGTAAATGTTCTGTATTTGTATAGCACCTTTCTAGTCTTTTCGACCACTCAAAGCGCTTTTACACTACATCTGCATTCACCATTCACTCACATTCATTCACTGAGCCTAAGTGCTCAAACAGAAACTAACATTCACACTTATTCATACACTGGCGGAACAGCCCTGACTATACTCTAGCACTAACATGAGTTTGACAATTGTTTTTTTGAGTGAAATATCTTGACAACTATTGGCTGGATTGACATGCAAATTGGTACAGCCATTCACGTTCCCCTCAGAATAAATTGCACTAACAATCAAGTGATTAACAATCATCAGGTCAAAATTTTTAATTTGTCCAATACTTTGGTTTATGACCAAATACCTCATCAGTCTCAGAGGTACTTTGTTTCGTGCTAATTAGCTAATTTTAGCATGATAGCACACTTAACTAAGATGGTGAACAGTAAACAACATACCTGCTAAACAGCAGCATGTTAACATTGTCAGTGCAATCACGTTAGCATACTGACGTTAGCAAAGTGCCACTTTGTACAGCCTCACTGAGCTGCTAGCATGATTGTTGACATTTCATGTAATAATTACCATGATCTTTCTGCAACAACAGGCCCATTTACAGAGTTTTCAAAATAAGATGACGTTATATTCTTTTATTATGATTAAAGAGCCTATTTGAGTATATTACATTTTAAATCATTAAAACAGTTAAACACTGCTAAAATTAGATTTTTTTTTTAAATTTAGAACAACGGGAAATGGAAATAGGAGAGATGGGTGAATGTAGCCTACTTTTAGGGATAATGTACCATATAATAAGTAATACCTGCAATAATTGAAAAGCAACTTTCTTAATTAATGTAGAAGAGGTAGTATTCTGCTGTTATGTAATTTGGGGTGGCCAAGATGGAAATAAATTCTATTAACTTGTTTTTATCTTGTGTCTTGCTTAAGTTTTAAAACATTGTGTTGTTTAGTTTTCTTCTCTTGTGTGTGTTTTTCATTGTTTTTTTTTGGTGAATATTTGTGTTTAATGTTTGTGTTGTTGATGGCAGAATAAAAATCATCAGTCAAATCATATTTTCATTATTTTTGTCCTATTGTTATGTTTGTGAGCACCAAATAAACTGGTGATGAGCAGTTATTTACGCTGAAACTACACTTTATTAACACTTATAATAATAATAATAATAATAATAATAATAATAATGACTCGGTACTGGCAGTAGCTGACCAAAACTATTTGACATTTAGATGTTAAAATAAATGCGAAGTACAGTGAGAGGCTGCCATGTTGAAATGTGATGGACCACAGGGTGCTGTCTTATAATCAGTCACCCAAACTCCTGCCCCGGGGCTAAAAGTCAAAGGATCGCTTAGACCTGATGTAACACTTGTGATTCTCCCCTTTGAAACTTCAAACTCCAGTTTGTGAACAAAGTCCTGTCTATCTTCTGAATAGGAATCTCCGACCACTGACCAAACTCCATTTGCAACCACTGCCTATTTGTACCTTCTCCTCAATGACTACATTTCATTTCCCCAAGTCCGATCTCAAAGGCAGTGCAGCAGGGAAGCAACACAGTAAAATCAAAATACAGGAACCAGCAGCTGGATGGGAAAGGTGATTATGGTGGCCTGGAAGAGTTAACAAGACGTGGAATATACTGTCTGGGGACTTATTTTGTTTCTTTCTAAGAGAGCTACATCACAGAGGACATGTTAATGTTTGTAAAGCACATCCCGGAGCGTGTTGATAAGAGTGAAACATAAGGAGACAATGTGCTGGCTACAGCAGATTTGAGGGCAGCAGAAAAAAGGCTGCTGCTCTGCTCTCCTGCAGTAGATGGAGGAGATAGGTGAGTAGAGTGTCATGGCAAAGACCTTGTCAACAGATAACTATCTGCAAATAACACAGATTATGCAAGCCCCTGTGGCTGACCGCGGGAATATCATATTGTCTGTGCCACTGGAATATTGTCAGATACTTTATTGTCGTCATGAAATGTGTTAAGATCGAATTTGTTTTTTTCCCAATTATTTCCTATTGTTATGTTAGTGTGGTCAGTCTGTGTGATACCTTTCTCCTGCTTTTATAGTTGAAAATGCTTTTATACAGCTCAGCTAAATAATTCACTGCAAAAACTAAAAGCTTAGTAAGATTAATTATCTTAATTGAAGGCAAAATATACTTGTTTTTTGTCTGACAAGGTATTTCTTCTTACCAGGCGGCTTTCATGTTAGAGAATTTCATTTGTCTCAAGTTTTTTTGGCCTTAAGTAGCAAGTGAAATATTCTTGTTCTGTTGGCAGATAATTTTGCTTATTTTAAGTAATTAAAATCATTTTTTGCCATTTTGTCCTCACTAATAGCACCTTATACTTCCAGTGAAGCTAATTTGTCCTCAGAGGCCTACAAATCCTTTTAACAAAAGCCAGTCCATCCCCTGAAGTGGTGTTAGGTGCATGGTTTATAGGGTTTTATGCTAAAATTACATGCATGTAATAGGTTGCCAAAAGGATCCATGTAGAAGCCTTTCATTTGTAATTAAAAAGTTAAAAAAAATGTACTGTAAAATGTTTTTCTTTTTTGTGTCGCTTTATCCAAATAACTTGACTTTAACAGAGAGGTTTAAGTGTGTTTTATGAAGATAACTCCAATAAATTGAATATGCCAAGAAATCAGATATTTTTCTGAAACAACAGAAGAGTTGTCACTCCGTCCTTACCCACGATAACTATTTAGTCTCAGGGTAATGATAAATCGCAAGTGGCTATTTAGTTGTTCAGTAGGCCTATCTCATAGTATGAAGGGTGTAAAAATCAGGGAGGTACGCAGTTAGAGGACCATATAATACTGTTTTTTTGTGTTTCTTTTGAAATTGTTTAGAGATTGTGCACTTTCTGTCTAAAATGCTCTTAGGTTAAAAATGACTTACAGTTAATTTTTTTACAGGAACCTTTTAACCCAAAAATTTGTAGTTCTCATGCAGATAATCTTTAATCTACAACAACAAGTTTCATCTTGTTACACATCCAGTCAGACTGAAAAACTCAAGTAGCCTCTGTGCACCAAATAAGTAAACAATTGCATCAATAAACACGAAGACCCATGGAAGACGTAAATCAATCACAGTGCGTGATAAGGCTCTGTAATCATTAACTCTGTTTTGCTGAGAATTAATTTTGACTGCTGGCCCAATCACCTCTGTCAGCAACTCTGCTCTGAGTACTTTCATCTCTCTGATTCTCTGTAGGTCCTTCAGTAATCAGCCAATCAATAGACATTTAACCTCCACAGCTTGAATAACAAGGACTACGTGTATTTAGGAATTCAACATTATCCTGTCAGCACAGCATCAAAGAGGACTTCATCCAAGTTTATACTGTAAATGTTGTTTACAGATGTTGTAAATATTTGCAGTTCTTTAATAAATTCAAGAAGGCAAACATAATAATTAATCTGACGCACCACCTGCGCCAGTAACACTGATGCTTCTTTAAATTTTGGTTGGACAGTTCAAACACTTCATCGACTAACTTTCCTCAATGTTCATTCGCTGTTCTACCTACTGAGGTCATATGCTGCTCTCTTCTGATCTTGTTAAGTCTGAACAAACCAACTCTGTCATCTGATCACGCTATCATTTTTGATTTCAGTGTCACAGGACAAATTTTTTTTACAGCACTGCCTCAGGTGGTGCAAGAAGTATTTATATCTTTTTTCTTAAATAAAAGAAGCAGCAGCACAGTGAAAAAATACTTATCATCAGGAAAAGTTCTACATTCATGTGGATGGGCTTTCAAATTGCAGCTTTAGATCAGGACAGTGGTGAAAGTATTCTGATCCTTTACTTAAGTAAAACTAGCAATACTGCAATATGAAAATACTGCATTACAAGTAAAAACCCTGCATTGAAAATGTTACTTAGGAAAAGTGCATAAGTATCGTTAGCAAAATCTACTTAAAGTGTCAAATGTACTCATTATGCAGAAAATAATGCCCCTGTCACTTTTATGATATTATATATTATATTTTTGTTGTTGTATGTTAACTTAATGTTACATTAACAAGTAAGTAGCATTTTAATGTTTTTAATGTAGCTGGCCAAGTTAATTTTAACTACATTATAAACAGCTTGGTACCTTGATCTCTAATAATGCATCATGTTTTGCATGTGACATGAAAATAAATCAGAATTAATGCTGTCTGCTACTGCTGATAAATGCAGTAAGTGGACTAAAAAGTACAATGTTTCTCTCTGAAATGTACTGCAGTGAAAGTATCATGCAAAATTCTATTAGTCAAGTTAATTAAGTTCATGAATACATGTACTTTTTTCTATTCCACCACTAAGTAAACTTCCTCAAAACTGTACTTTGGTATACAGTATGTCTGTGTGTTACCTTCCACTACTACAGACAATATGAAATCGCTACTTAATACTGCCATCATGTGGAAACATAGCAAGTCCACACTCAACTCAGTGTTGAGTTAAACAGGCTAACGCTATATATTTTATCTACAATCTGTTGAATCACTGAATTATTCTGGGTCCAAAATATTTATCACAGAGTGTCAAGATATTGTATCGATGAATTTGTTGTCTGTTTGTGCCACTAAATTCTCTCAATGAAGCAGCTCTTCTAAACAGTCAAAATTTAAAGCTTTCCTCACTCAAACCAGTTCTATAACACAATTACTTTTGAAGATTCAAGCAGAAGTAAACCAGAAACATATTCATTTTCACCTCAGCACTGCGTTCGTTCTGATAGCTTCCAGCAGGTTTATTTTCCAAAGCTCTGTGGATTTAACGCACAAACAGCAGCTTGTTGTTCGCCCTAGATCCAGGAATAATCTACACACTCAACAACTAATTCTCAAAGTTCTCTCTGTTTCCTTTACCGTTACCTGGGTCGGTGAAGTGCTGCGTCCCATCTTGGCCATACATCCCTCTGAAGGCCGAGCCCTGATAGTGAGCCGGCCAGCTGAGCAAAGGCCCATGAGCCTCAGCGGCTCTCTCAGGCCCGGCCAGGCTGAGGCAAGCTGGGAGGAGAAGCAGGGCCACTGTTACTGGATAGTGCTGTTTGCCGGGGCCACCGGGCCGACTGTTAGGGCCCACAGCGCCCAGAGATAATCTCCTAATGCCTGTCACAATGAGATTTGATTGGAGACTTGAACACCCGGATTAATAGTGTCAAGTGAATAGTGTGTAATACCTACCCTCCAAACAGGCTAATTGGGCTTTCTGCCTCTGTTAAACACCAGATATTTTATTGCAGTACGGATTAAATTTCACTTCATTAGCTGAGTGATTTGTTCACCAGGACTCTATACTGTGACTCTTCTAGTACACAAGATTAATATTTTCCATACGGCCAAAGTTATTTATATTTTTTTTATCTTATTTTAAGTTGAAAACAAACCAGTATCTGTTTCAGAGTTTACAATCACCATCAGTTCATCCAGATGACAAATGTCAGTATATTGTATATACCGTATACCAATTCCACCTACCTCATGTACATAACACCTGCACATAATACCTGTTTATTCCAGCATTCTTTGCACTCATCACACTGTGTACATGTATGCTTGTATGTGTATGTGCACCTGTATATCACATCCACCTCCGACATGTACATAATAATAACTATAATGGTAATAATAATTTACTCCTGCATCCTTTGCACTCTGGTCATTGCACTTCTGCACTATTGTCTCAATCTGTCTGTTTTTGTTTATAGTGTGTATGTATGTGTTCTCTATACTGTAGCCTGTGTTTGATTTTATTACTGTATTGTTGTGTTATTGTATAAGTAAGCACATAGTGAGCATTGTCCTATCCAGAGTCACGTAAGTTACATATGGCTCGTTATAATGGTTAAATGATTTGATCCAATCATTTAAACGCATAATTTGGCCCTGAAGTTAAGAGGGTTAGAAGTCTTTGGTTTTAAACAGTTTTTTAAGTGGGTAGAAATGTGTGTGAAAGTAGCCAATTAAATTGCTTGTTGAGGGAAAATTGTTAAAGCAAGAGAAAAATAAACAACAAATGCAAGGTAAAGATGGCATGCATACAATCAAACCTCATTATAACATGAAGTTTACTTGTGTACCCAAGTCCTGTGTAGTGAGGGCCCATGGTCATAATTATCCGTCTATGCTTGCTGACGGTGTAGCTGCTCTACAGATGTAACCTGTTAAAACGACTAATAATTGAACTAATGCTGTTCTGATCTACTTTTCCATTACAAATGGGCAACTCCCATCTATTAAGGATGATCATGGGATGTGAAAGCTCCAGAACAGCCATGAAGGTACTTTGTCTTAAGATTGTTTTGTCAACAGTTTATAAACTAGTAAAAATTAGCTCCAATTTAGCTCCAATACAAACACAAGCCGGAAGGCTCTATGGTCATATCACCAGCTAAAACATTAAAATGCTGCTCACAAATTTATGGATCAAACTAAGCAAACACTGAGGAAACATTCTGCCACCTAATAGGTACTTCTACCATGCAGGACTTTGACTTATAATGGGAATATTATGAAGTAAAAGATTGCAGTACATTAGTGCCTTTAGTTCAAATGACATTCAAGCTTTTCAATTCAAAGTTTTCACATAAGCATTTAAACTCTGAAGAGATACATTGCATCCATTTATAACACATTGTACGTACTATATGGGTTTTATGACAACTCTTAATTGTGATCCACGCAGCAGCTACCTTGTAACAAATATACCACAAACATTATTTATCATCATTGCCTTAATAATCTGGCTGTATTATGGTCTTTTAACAAGAAGATGTTGTCTTTGTTAGTCTAGTTGAGTTCATTTAATCCTTTCACTTTGTCTCTGTCACTCAGGCGGTGTGTTTTAAGGAGCCAGGCCTGCCTCTCGGTGCCCCGCTGTCAAGTCATTCAGCTTTGTAGATTAAACAGATATCCGCTGAGGAGCTGCTGAACGGCTGCTGTCATGTTTACATTCACCAAGTGATTCTGCCAACAGTAGGTTGTGACCGTTGGGCAATTAATCCCATGTGTCTGACACAAATTTATGTGTGCTGTGTGAGCTATACTGTAAGCTAAAATCAAGGTTTATCAACTTGCCTCAGTAGTTGAGTCTAGAGGAATCAAAAGGCTGCAACCTGGTGAATTGTAGGTCAGATTTTGTAGAAAATTACGCAAAACTTAACACTCTTGCCATTACGCATCATGTTAAAACTGGCAGCTGTAATCTGCTGGTGAATACAACAAATTTCTAATGCTAGCTAGAGACACAACGTCAGCACATTTCCTTTCAGTTTGTTTGGACAAAGAAGCATAGTATAACCCGATCTAGGCCAAAAAGAAGCTTAGTGTAGGCAGTTGCCAAAGAATGCAAACTTAAATGTCCTAGTTTTGGAAGATTTGGTGAGCCTATACTGTAGGGGGTAAACAAATCCTTTCAGAATATGTTGCTGTTCAAAAACAGAGCAACTCAATCATTTGTGATACTATTTTCTGGTCATGGATCAAAGAGGTGGCTACACAGTGACCAATGCAATCATCACTGTTTTTTAAAATCAGGGGAATATGACAACGAAAATGTAACATTTTTTGACCCATACAATGAATACAGTCAAAATAACATAGTGTAGAAACTGGATCCTCTATCATGTCGTTTAAAGCATTAATCTCATAAAGACAAAAACAACAAAATGTTGGTCCTCCTGTAAGTACTTTCTGACTAAATCTTTGAAAACACGTCATGAATATATACTTTGACCTTTAAAAAAGGCTCAATAATTTCCTAAAACATCTGAAGTTTTGTAAGCTAACATGAGTAAATAGGATGTTTCTAGGGGATTTTTTTTTAGTGGCAGACTATAGTATTTACAACAGCAGGATGATGTATGTGGGATTGAGTCAGAATAAACTACAGTGTCTATGTTCAGCATTATAAAGGACATTCAACAGATTGTTTTTGGGCAAAAATTGAGCTCCACAATTCCATTAGAATAATAATAAGGAGGAAAATATAGACAGGCTTTAGGTAAAAGACAATGCTTGTTAGTAGAGTCAGTTCATTGTTGGTTTTAGGTTTTAATGGGATTTGTTGAAAAAAAGAAAAAATATCACCAGACATGTCCTCTAAAAGCAAGATTGGTGCTAATCATTAACTGTCGCTTCGCCTCTTTGCATAATTGTGGAGATTGTGCCTCTGATGGTACTGTATATAAAAATCTGTATATAAACATTCAGTAGCTGTCATATGTGACTAGTGGGACTAATGCCAAAATCAGCAGATCTGTGTGTGGTGGCTCATGTCTTGTTGAAGGGCAAGAAATTTCAACTTTGACACGCCTATTTGCACCATTGACCAATAGGAAACTGTCTTGACAATGCTGACCTTTATTTAACCTCCTCTGTTGCAGTATGAACTATCCCACAGAAGAATTAAAGAATTGGCACTATATAAATAAAATTTAAATTAACTGAAAAGAGAAATGGCTTTTCTTACTTTTAAGAGGCAGGACTTGAATGTACAAATACATCTTTGCGCCACAGAAGAATGAAAGAATTGAAGAATGAAAGAATTGGCGCTATATAAATAAAATTGAATTGAATTGAAAAGAGAAATGTTTTTTCTGACAGTTAAGAGACAGGACTCGATGGTACAAATACATCTTTTGTATGAACTGTGTGGACGCATTATCCTGTCAGCGACCAAGCTAGCAAGTGTTAGCAAGCTTGTTAGCCTGGAGAGCTTTAATCCCCCTTTAAAGAATCGTTACTGCGTGGAATAATGTACACTTCTGAGTATAAAATGTTAGGAGAGAGTAAACAACACAGTACAGATTGCACCAGCTACAGTAGATTACCAAGTAGCCAAGTGCGTAGTCTAGAGCCAACTATTTGTGCTGCAGTTATTTATGTTCTTGGTTTATGTTATAATTTTTCCAAGATCAAGTTCACATTACACATCACTCTCATTGTCAGATTGTAGATGAACAAGAAAACAGTATCACAAACTGGCTAAAGGGAAAACAAAAGCACCTCACTATTGGCAAAGTAAAAGATGTAAAGATGTAATTTGCTGTCCCACTTTCAGCAGTTGATGCAGTAGAAGAAGAGAAATTGGGAGAGCATTATATGATAAATCTATTGTAAAAGTGCCATTCAGCCATTTAACAGGGGGTTACTCAAAAACCTGTCACTCTCGGGGCTTCCAGAAAATATGTAGCCCTACACAAAAACATGGATCACACAGAAACATCTGTTTAATGACAAACCAACTGTTTAGCCACATTCATCACTTTTTTTTTCTCATGATGGCCAGCTAAAACATTAATTTGCATCTCTACATCCCACTGTGACATGCAAATTATTCAGTGAATGACCATGGGTGTAAAAACAAAACCCCACATCAACTGCTGTATCTGAAAGCTGGTGTGAGAAGTTGAACAGTGAGGCCTCTGCTTTCATTGAAAGAGTTCAGAACAGACGTCACAAAGGAACAGATGTAGCCCGTAGCAGCAGTGTGAAGATAGTGACTGAAGGGGATTTCTGTGGTCTTACAGACTTCACTGTGTTTGTGTTTGTGTTTGTATAGCATCATATCCTGTTGCCATATCTACAGATAAGCTTTGTGAGTTATTATCTTAGCTTTCATATTATGTCCGTTTCACAGTTACTTTACAGAAATAATGTTTTCAGCAACACAGGCCGAGAATAAACAGTTGTTTAAAATGCTAATTACAGTACAATTTGACATACTTCTACTCTTAATAGATATTGTACTTTGTACTTAAATTGATTTATTTGACACTTACAGTTAACGTTATTTTACTTATTTAAAAAAACAATGATTAATGATATGATGCAGTACTACTACTAATCTACCCAGTAGCAGTAGTATCAAAAATAGGCTCCATGTTGACAAACTACAGAGCAGAGCCATTAACTACTACTAAGTACTTTTAATGATGAGAGTTAAAGTATTACTATCATTAGATTGTGTATTTCTACTTACTTAAGTAAAGGATCTGAGTTCTTTTCCCCCCACTGAGAATACAAATACAGAGTCTTCTGCTCAAAAACTCTTACTTGTATCAGCAGCACCAAAAACATCATGTTCACATCACCTTGTAAACCTCTGCACCATCATCACCATCAGGCCCAACTCCCATGGCCTTTTTAACAACCTCCATATCTCTGACACACCTCCTGGATTACAGTCGTGTGGAAAAGGCAGACACAAATGGCGATGATATTTCCCCTCTGAATCTGTTGTGATCCAGCAGAGCTCAGGAGCCAAACGGCTGCTGCACAAACCACCGAAATGAAAGAAAAAGGCAAGCAGCTGCCACACTCGACCTTTTTTTCACTGAAGCCAAAACTGATAAAAACAAAAATGTTTGTACTCACCAAATGGAAGTTCCATACTTGAACTGACTTGTGTGTTTACATTGACCATGTCGTCCTCTGCTTCCTCGAGCATGTGTTTTAAATCCACGTTTTCCTCCCTCACCATAAGGTGTAAAATGTGGAAGTTTGGCGCAGCTTGCTGCAGTGTGAGAAGGGTGTTGTTGGTGCAAGGTAAGGCCGGTGTTGCCGCTGTTATCTTATTGATTTTCCTAATCTGGGCAAATGTGGGTGGGGAGGTTAAACAGTAACCAGGCTCGTATGGACACCAATCTATATAGCAGCTGTAACTACGGCAACATGATGATAGAAACTCAAATAGACATAAAGTTATCATGTGCTTTTCCCTCTTTCTCATCACCAAACAGCCGTTTCTCAAGATACAGATTAGGAGTGAACAAGAGTGTTGAGACTTAAAGGAGAGAGAAAGCTAGAGGGTGGGGAGAAATATGAAAGACAGAGAGGAGTGGAGAATGTACAGAGGGTGGCAGCGAACAAACTGTGTATGATGAGTAACGTAATCAGTTTTGTTTTGACTGAAGGGAAAAAGTAACTGACTGCTTAGCTGCCAGTTATAGAACTGGGCCTGAAACACCTGTGGATAGCAAGACGCCCACTGAAATCTAATTTTAAAATGTCATTTCCACAGTCTCCTGGCAGAAATGGAAATCTCACGCCTGTTTCACTTCATAAAGGCGATTTTGTGCCATCTGATTGCAGCATCTGGCAGGCTTTTAAAATTCCACAGGCAAGTTTAGATATTTTCTTATGTCATTCACAAAAAATATGATGGTCTTTAACATGATTTATAAACCAGTCACAAGACATATTCAGGATTTATCACATACTGTACACACTAGTTGTTTTATGGTCTTTATGGGATTTACAGTCTCAATGAATAGTTTGACATTTTGGAAAATCCTTTTAGATGAGTCAGATGAGAATATCTTTACCACTTTTATGACTGTACAGTGAATACAGAGCTACAATCGTTTAACTTAGCTTACTAGCATAGATACTGGAAATGGGGAAATGGCTAGTCTGGCTCTGTCCAAAAGTAACAAAATCCTACTTCCAGCACCTCTTAAACTCACTAACTCACTAACGTGTTACTAATCGTTTGTTGTATTAATCTGTACAAAAACAGAAAAACCGACTATTTCTTGGCCGGCAACCTCTTTGTGATGGCAATTTGTTGTTTTTACAGTTCAGTTTTTAAACAGATTAGATATATTATGCGAATTAGTGAGATTAGCTGTTTCCAGTCTTTATTCTAAACTATGCTAAGCTAACCGTCTCATGGTTGTAGCTGCCGTACAGACGTGAAAGTGATGTAGCTCTTGTGTTTGTGGAGGCATTGACTGGTGATGACAACTTGAAGACTGTCAATTATTCTATCAAGTGTTCAAAACAGCAGCAGATGTAATGATTTGTAATATTCATAACTATACAAACATGAAGCTCACACAGAGAATAAATTCCAGCTACTCTCCAATTCTGGATGAAGAGCTTCCAGATGAAAGGTTATCATTGTCACCGAAGTGCTGAGCTGCTCTGTACGTTTGTTTGTGAGGGTAAAAATGTTTTCCATTTCAAATATGTTACATGTTTGCTGTTGGTGGCCATGGTGTGTGTGTGTGTGTGTGTGTGTGTGTGTGTGTGTGAGAGAGAGAGAGAATTGGTTTGGAGGCACAGCTGATTCACTTGTATTTTAGACCATAAAAACTGCATTACTCTCCTGTTTTATGGCAGAGAAAGTCTCTGAGGGGTGAACAGTAGAGATGTAATGAGGTGAAATGCAGGACAGAAAATTCCCTGCAGCAGCAGTGAATAAACACAAGTTGTGAACTGCATATTATTTATAGGGACGTACACCGTCATCAGTTATTTATAACTTAATTAATCTTCAGTGAGGCAAACAGACAACCAATGAATTTAACGCATTTGTGTTTACTGCAGGAATGATTTGACAGTTTTTCACACTGAACAAAGAAAAATGTTCAGTCAGGTTAGAAAGAGACTCATAAAACACATCCAAGGCTACAGTAAATATAATCTGAACAATAAAAGTGCTTAGTTTTTGGTCAATGCCTCTCAAAAGTCATTCAAACCAACACATTGATTAATAACAGTGCAAAAACTCTCTGTAGACGTCTTAAACAAGTATAAAAACAGGACAATGTTACTTATTTTTTCAATATTATTTTGTTAGTAACGTGTGGGATAAAGATTTACTTTGAACATAGTGGTAGTTGGAGAGCTGTATCATTTTCTACTTGTCAGAAATGTTTTCATGTGCAGCCTTGCTGTTGGTTAAAACTGTAAGACTTTACATGGATTATTACTTTCTATTTTTTTAATCTATTTTCAGTTAAAACACATATAAAACTCTGTGTTGTGTTAATATCTTGTAAGTCTTTTGGGTTTTGGGTTTGGTGAGCACTGGTTTCTCCAGCAGGAGCCGCCATAGCTGGATGGACAGACAGAGCAAGGCTTCCCGCTCTTATAGGGAACCTCTCCAACCCAATTTCCTCTGAAACACAAATTAACATAAAGTTATAAGGCATTGTTATGCATTTATTTTTTAACAGAACCAAAATCTATCAAAGGATAAGACTCGCATTACTGTATATTTCTGTTATTGTCACAACAATGTGTTTTCGGAATAAAACTTCTCTACCCTGAGTGTGGCAAATCTGTATATACTCTTAGCTCAGAAATGCTGGGCACTGTAGTTTTCAGCAAATGTTAGTCAAACATGAGTAAATAGTATAGCATTTGTTGGGGACTAATTTCAGCGGCGTAGTGAGTATTTGGGGCAGCAGGACGGTGTACGTGGGATTGAGTCAAAACTAAACTAATGTGTTTTCATGGTAATGAAGGAACATGTCAGCCAGTACAACAGTGCGGCTCATTGATCTGTTTTTAATACTTTTTAAATAAAGAATTTCACCAGACGTATCCTTTAAAAACACAAATAATATGTGTTACATTTCCTGATGATAATTTCTCGGTGGTGTTTTGTCTTATCAGAATAACAAACAAGCACGTTTATACTATCATAAACTATACACAATCCATCCTCACCAAAAAAACAGCCGTATAGGTAAATTATTATGTAGCGGCAGAAGAAGTCAGGTGACCATGTATAAGGAGCAACAAAGTCCGTGTAATGAGAGCGGTGAGATGGTTGGATG